ATAAAAACAATGAGATGGGAAATATTAACAATACAAAACTGAAATCATTTGTCAACTAGTCCATTAAGTCACATGTGAACCTAAATGATTGTTTTCCTAATAATTCTGATATTTCTTATCGCTTACTAGTGATTTATTAGGCTGTATGGGGTATATTTCGCGTTCGTAGTATCCTAAAGTGTCTAAGATAAATTAAGAATAGCCAGTAATGATGTATGGAGATAATCAGTGAAAACTAAAGGAAAACCTGAATGATGAGTGGATTCCAACCATAAGTATCACGATAACAGGTAAGTCATGTACATGTACATGTATTATGAAATCCGATAGATAAATAGATCTCAAATTCATTTCAGTTATCAAGTTTTGTGAATACGTGTTCCATCAGCGTCTGTATAACACTAGGACGGTGGAGAATGTGCATCTCAAGATGATGATTTTGGCATTGTTGCGTTCGTTGAGCTGCAAGTTTTAGTCGTGGAGCTACCATTATCATTCTAAATAAAATCATCAGGACAAACTTCAGATGAAACTAAACTATGAGGATATCTCCACAAGCGGTTAAGTAGCCTGTTCTAGTAATCTTGTGTGTGATTTGTTGTTTCCGTTGTTAAAGTCACCACACATGTTTTGACTGGCTGGAGTGCTGACCTAAACTCTAAGCTCCTCGCCGTTTCTCGTGTTCTTTATGGGTTGATAGATCGAGTCATTGTTAATATGCCGAATGATCACTGACTAAACAGTGTCAAGCTTCTAGAATTTCCCTGGCGTTTTTTGTACGTCTATTATCAGAAATTTCTTCATTTTCCTAGTTGGATTTATGTCCACAACTGTCTACACAGCTTCGTATGAGCGTGGATATATCACGTCGCATCATTGCTAGTTGATGTTCGCGCAGATGAACAGTCTTTCATTATGATTGTATCTTACGATCTGCGCAAAAGTAAGCAATCTACTTTTGTAGGTTTGTAAGCTACAGTGACTTCGAAAGGCTTTAGTAATCTGGCTATATCATCTAAAATGCTCTTCATGTAATGCAGAGCAATCCGTATGTTGGTTCCTCAAGTTGATTCTTTGGTTAACGGCGAATTTGAGAAATAATGAAATATCATGGTTAGCCTTTCTTTTTAAAGACATACAAAGGTTTGTTTTGTTTCGAAAGGATATAAAACAGTATTATTTTCTCTTTAGAAAAATGCTTCTACGCAACTGACTTTGTGTTTTTGAGTTGGTGCTACTGCAAATAAGGTTTTGATCAGTGCGAATCGATTTTCTGTAAAATTGAGCTTTCAATTTTTATAAAAACGTTGTGGTGATCAAGAAAATCCAAAAGTTGTCACTTAATCCCTCGTCAATGGTGAGTTTGATGTCAACAAAAACGTTGTTGATTATTTTGTAAGTGTAGGTATCTTCAAAATAGCAGCCCTAAAATTTTGGTTTGATAAGTGGAATGACAATAGTTTGAAATCTTAGCTAGTTTCCGATCAATCGCCGTTATATTAAGAATCTTAATCCTCTACAGGAATTGTTTTGGAGAGTTGATGGACTGATGTTATGGTAGTAATAGATGCTTTGGTTTTCTGAAAGGTTCTCTCAACAGATTCTTTGTTGGAATCCCCAAAAGTGAAACAATTGGTTGTAGAGGGAGAAATGTGGAAGAAGGGGTTTTTGATTTCCCACTGTACTTGATTTCTTATTTTTCCTGAGAGTTTATCTGAAGTATTGGTAACTATGGTATCGAAATTTTAAGTGGGACTCGTCACGATTGGTTGATATAAACTTATGAGCAATTTTTTCGTCTTCATGATGTAGATATTTTGATCCATGGCTACTATGGTGTCCCATTCGTCAACCTGAAGAATAACGATGTTTTCTATTTGTCAATCTCATAAGAGCTCCACGCTCTTCTAAGGATAAGCTGCTAAGAAAATTTATGGAAAAATTCTTTTAGCTCATTTCTTTTTGTAGTTTTTACTAATGATGCTGTCCGAGATAACAATAAAAACTCCACAACCAAACCAGTTCAGAAAACACACCCGACCAAGGTCATCACGAAACTAGACAACTTCAGGTTCAGGAATAAATTGAAATTGAAATAAATGAGAAAAGGGTGGTAATTGGATGACCGTGTGATTGCAATGTCTGAGATAATATAAGAGTAAAACTTGGGCACTGTGGTCGATTGTAATTCTATTTTAGTCTGTTTATTAGAAATATCGTTTGTGCTTTGAAGTTTCTTTAGCGGTTAGATTTGCTTTAAGGGGTAGGGTTGCTAGCCCTATGCCCAACCTTCCGTCTTTACCCGGGCTTAGGACCGGCTAGTAACTAGTGAACTAGTTAACCAGGCGATAAGAGGGGGATACGCTGGACTGCGGAAAAGAACCTAGAAGACTTGGATTTCGCCAACGATGACTTGTGTCTGATGTCACACAAACTTGAAGATCTACAGGTGAAAACTAACAAGTTGATAGAAGAGGCAGCGAAGACGGGACTTCAAATGAATATAGAGAAGACAGAAGTGACGGAGATACCGCACCACCACCATCAACAACAACAACAAACTCCAGTCACCATCAATGGGAGAAACTTAAAGGAAGTAACCTCCTTCACCTATCTAGGAAGCACTGTTTCAGCTACAGGCGCCACAGGCACAGACGAGGATGTCAAAGTCAGAATCGGAAAAGCAAGACAGGCGTTCATTAGCCTGAAACCAGTGTGGAGATCTCCTACACTGCACTCAGCATGTGGAACAAGATCCGGATTTTCAACACCAACGTCAAGTCAGTGCTTCTGTATGGTTCAGAGACTTGGTGCGTCACGAAAGGGATTTCCAGTAAACTACACACATTCATCAACAACTGCCTACGCTCGCTACTGAAGATCAGATGGCCAGAAAGAATAAGCAACAAGGAACTCTGGGAACGAACCAACCAAGAACCTATCACGCAACAAATATGCAGGAGGAAGTGGAGATGGATTGGGCATGCACTGAGAAGGCCGACTAGGGATATCAGGCGTCAGGCCCTCAAGTGGAATCCCCATGGGAAGCGAAGAGTTGGACGTCCGAGGGTGACATGGAGGAGATCGTGCGAGGAGGAAATGAGAGCTTATGGGCTGTCGTGAAACCAGGTTCAAAAGATCTCAGAGAACTGAGGTCACTGGAGACGTATTACTGAAGCCCTATGTTCCACTAGGAACCCAAGGGAATAATAATAATAATAATAATTAGAAATATCACAGTGAAACAATAGCATTTACTGGATAACGTTTCGGAGACAATTTATTATCCATATTCATATCAGGTAACTCCACAATTTACAGACAGACCATATATTCCTAATTTCCTCTCCTTCTCTGTGATGACCAGGGTAATAGAATTTTCCACATATCTGGGAAAATTCGTATTCTCTGCATTGCTGAGGCTTTTGCCACGCATATGGAGAAACCTGAACTGTGTACACACAAGAAGATTGTTCAATCACTTCTCCCTTCATGGTCTTAGTTTTCAGTCTCCTATAACCCCCCCCCTTTTATTCTTTTCATTTTTTTGCCTCGACACTATTCACTTCCTAAGTAATTTACTACTCATTCCGGTCGCTATGCCCCCATCTGATCACAGTTCACTTTCCAATTATGTCGTCATGTTACGAAACTTCTTGTTCAAACGTATTTCGATGAATATTCACTACTCATCAGTTTTCGGTTTTTGATTTTAGTGAGAACTCATTTATTGACATTATTTGTGTTACGATGCTTGACAAACAGTTTTTAGGTATCAAATCCCTACACTAGAAGAATGTATAAATTCACGATTGTAAAGTTTTGAAAATGGAATTGCCGAAAAGAGGCTTTACACTGAAATACTTGTTCTTCGTTCACATCCTGATGAGTATATTTCACAAATAAATGAACCTCATTGGTACAACAAAAACAATGAAAACTGAAAAGCATTTCATTCACTCATTTCCCCCATAGTTTTAAGAAAAACCCAAGCATGTGAACATTGCTGACATCCTTATATTTAGAGACATCTAAACACTACATGGGCTCAGTGATCCTTACGTCGAGGATAAATTTACGATAAACTCTTAGATCTGTAACCTAGGATCCTAGAGATAGCACAGAATCAATAAAGCTTAGAATAAGGTTGATGATTGTTTAGTGCTTTCCATGCTCAGATATTGATTGTGGATGTTTCGAAATCGGACTAGATGACTGGATTCGTAAAAGTTATTTTATAAGATAGTGAAACATTTTCGAAGTGGTTTGAATGTCTGAACAGTTGATTCACGTTAAAGGTAAATATGAAACTATGTAAGATGGGTAAGTTTTCTTCATATATTAAGAACAGCGAGTTTTAAACCTAGTTCTAGAGACATCAAACTACCAACCATTTTAACGCTATCCAACCAATCCAACTTCAACCAGTGGTTAAGGTAGTCCTAAATCTAGTAACCAGTCTTCAATACAGTTAGTTTGAGCCATGTGGGGTGATGCAGACTAGCCGGTTGGAGTTCGCAGGACAAGAGAAACCAGTGGTTGAAGACTGTAGGTGATATGACTCAGAACCGAAGTCAGTAGGGCAGATGTATACACACATTATCCTCATCTTAACGACGCTATACCGAATCTCATCATTTTCTTATTCTCCTTTTCTCTCTTTCAGTACCTTGCATTCCTTGTGACTGAATTTTCTTTTATTCATCTCCCACTTCAATGCCTTTTTACTTGATGTACTGATGTGAGGTGTGGCAACTCGGACCGTTACGCAGTAGTGGATGGATGGATGATGGTTTCAATCAACAAAACTATATCAAATTGCAACAGCATAATTTATTAAGAAATGTCTTTATTAGCACCTATCTTGAATGTTAATTGAAACAACCCTAATGTGGAACATTGTTTCATTCTATGATGAAATAACATGTAACAATTCACAAAAAAGGTTTTAAAAATTAAAATTAGAGAAGAAACACAAAAGTTAAACGGCAAAAACTTACAATTAGTAGTTGACTGGATACAATTTCCCACCATAAATCTAATCGATGAATATTAACCAGTCCAATCTCTGTCATTTTAGCGATTGGAAATTGACTTGGTTCCTACAACAAGTATAAAGCATATAAGTTATACTTATCAAAACCAACAGGAAATGGACGAAAAAAACTCGATATTACAATATATGATACTTAACACGAAAATGGTTGTATTTATAAGTAGAAATCTGTACTCATCTAAAGAAAGTCGAAACGAACAAGTATCACAATAACAGTGGATAAGTAAACGTTGAATATTGGACTTCAAGTGATTATGTTAGCAGTATCATACACCTACCAATATAGTCAAAAATGTTTCACAGTGATAAAAGATTTCGACGAGAAAAAACTAATATTGCTAAAGTAGAACCTGAAGTATGGTCTTACAATAGTTTATATCTAAGATAAATTGAAAAAAATTGCAACCACTTTAAAAGTAAAATATATCAAAGTTGTACAATAGGTACTTTGACAGAATTATGCATAACAAGTTGATTCTTAAACATAAATCCGGCGAATAAGTGTCTTTGTTATACTATGTATTCTAACAAGCTTCTGAACATAGGAATTTTGATGGTGTTGTGTTCTCTGAGTTGAATGGTTTAATCGTGGAGCTTTCACTGTCATTCTAGACAACGTCATCAGCACTAACTACAATATGTAATGATAATAATAATAATAATAATAATGACACAGACTTTTGAAAATACAACAATGAATATGTATTAAAGAAGAAATTGAAAATAAGGAACCTAATATTTTAAAGGCAATTAGGCTGCCAAATATAGGCAATAAGGGTTAGTGTTCACGAGAAATTATTTCATGATTTCCTAAAATAGGAAAATATTTTGACAAGAATTAGAAATCAATAATTATTTGCTCTTCTGTCATATCCTTCTTCTCTATACAAATGTATATCTTAGTGTTATCTTTACAATAGGTAACGAAGTGAACAGAAAAACTTTTGATCAAAATCAATACTACCTTGTGTTTTCAGCACTTAGTGAAAGCTATCCACTGATGAATAGGATCTATTCAACTAAGCAACAGTTACAAATAGCAGAGACTAGATCATACATCATTGGCGTTAACCAATGAATTGTCTCAATAAAATCAAATTAGCGGTAACAGATCATCAAATACTTATCATTCACTAACAAAGATACAAACTAATTGTTAAGAGCCGTATGAGAATTTTCTTCAAGTTTCTTTTGGATGTATTTATCAAGAGAGTTCATCTATATGCACTCGAAATAATATAAGAAGTTAGAAAAAGCTTTTGGACATCTTATTTTCATGACAATAATATTCCGAACTATATTACTGTTCACAGTACAGAATTCTTAGCATATGATATTGCATCGGTTTATTGACCGTACATTTTCCAAGTATATATTAAAAACCGTGCTGTTTAACAATATGTGATAGAGAATAACAGGATTATCATTTTTAACTATCTAAGATAGCCGTCGTGTAGCAAACTTGTATTGAAACTCGGTGATGAATGAAGGTGAAATGAAAATTTGGACGGAGGTTGGATTCAAACTAGCGACCACCCTATTTTCGGCCGAATTTTCACTTCACCTTCAGTCATCACCCAGTAACAATAACAGGATTGTTGAAATGTCTAATGACTTCAGGGTCATAATAGCTGTTCGCTATTGCAAAGTTGATTGATGAGACTGTGTAACATGATTTTCTTCACACAATACACAGGTTACATAAGGTAGGGTTTAATTTTTGTATGTATTTGTGCATGCATAGAGTTCAATATATTTGCTTCTTGTCTTACCTGATAAAAGATATGGAGAGAGGTGCAGGTGCAAAGGATGCTTGTCACCAGATAACATATTTTTAGCCAGCTGTCTACAAGAGTGCAGATGCCTATTCACAAATACATTTATCCATACGGTTAGTGGTGTACCACTAACTCTACTAAAGTCTTCAAAATCCTAAACAATGTAACGTAGTTCTGTCCCCAGAGTTCAGGAAAGAATAAACGGGAACAATAAGTAACTATAGGCAAAACATAGGAATTAACGAAACATAAGAGTAGGGTCTGAGTTATGCCAGACAGTTGGAATTTACCCATATAAAATGTCAAGAGAAGGATTTTTCCGGGAATGAGTAAAATACGAGGGGACCCAGAAACATCAGAAGAAAAGCGCAGGCCAAGATGGATTAGGCCTGATACTTTCTCTACAGAAGAGTCATCAATACGACGAGAGTCAGGAAGCCGAAATAGTTCATAGGAACTTTGTTCACTTCTTAAGCAAAAATTTTTAATCTGACGTTTAGAGGGATGGAGTGTGAGGCAATTCAATGAAGGCCAGTGACCGATTCCGGTTAAGAAGCTATTAAACTAAAAACAATCTTTGGAGATGATCAAAATGAATAGTGTTACGTCATCCACGTAACTAACAAAACTAGCTATAGTTGAGGTGGGTAGGTCATGAAAAAAGAAAGAGAAAAGAAAAGGAGAAATAACACCACCTTGAGGGATACGGGCTTCCCTGAGTAAGGAAGCAGACCGTTTTCCTCTGTATAAAGTCTACTTTCTCCTCTCAGAAAAATAAGCATCAAGTCAGTTTGCAATCCAAGACTAAATGGTAGTTCTGGCAGGCCTATTTGTTATAAAAGGGGTCCAGGGATAAAGTCAAAAGAAGAAGTGCTCACTAAGAAGGCAGATCTGACATACTTAGCACCCACATCCCTCTGTCTAGATTGTTGGTAATATTATGATTTCAAACAACTGCAGCAACCAAAGTACTTCTGCGTTTGAAAGCAAATTGTTTGGGATCACTTAAAGTCTCCAATGGAAGTCCAAGCAAACGAAGCAGCAGTTTATCCATGGTTTTTAGGAATGGTGCGATCGGCCGCAGTTGCACACTTGCTCAAGGAGATATGAATTTAGGTACCGGAACTATTTTATTTTCTTTCCAGGTAGTTGGTGCTTTATTTTTCGGCAAAGTACTCGTGTTTAAGGATGAATGAGACTTTGTGAAGGTTTTAGTGATTTTAAGCTTTTGAATACATCTGTTTTATCTAATTTAGAAAAACTGCCTTCTATCATTTGTGAAGAACTAGATATGATAACATGGAGTCCGACTACGAATCGCTGTCACAGGCATTGACATGCTGCGGCGGGGGTGAGAGAGTGCTACTCCTGTCCCTAACTTTTTGAACCCCCGTTTCCCATAGGAAAAGCAACATCAGCCCGGCACCGATGGTCAGCCAGGGGGAACACCTTATTGCTGTCAGATGCCAGCAAGACTTTCCCCTTGAACATCCAACAATACCGTAGCGATTTACACTATGATGGTAAATGCTTTTTATCTAACCACTATCCAACAGATCTTTCTGGCATGATAGGACCTCGAGGAAACAAGCTTTTCACAAGCATAGTTAGACCACTGTGATAAGCAAGCATGACCTCTACGTCAAGGTAGCATCTATTGGTCGGCAAGTGCGTAACCTATGTACCAGGCTTCATTTTAGTGCTTATCACTGATCGAAGTCTATTTACCGAGTTTGACAATGTGACTACTAAGCTAAGTGATACGACAATGTGGTGTACAATATTTTCCGTGTTAGATGTTAGAAGTCAATCAGGAGACAGCCTCAAACCTACGTTTCCTGCTTGCTGGCAAGCATCAGCAAAGTGTATTTTAAAACTAATATAAGGCTGAAAGTAAATGTATTTTTTACTCAAACCTCTCAAGATGCCTAATTTAACTTGCTTCCACTTGTTTCCCAATGCCAATGAAATATCACTCTTCAGTTAATTTATCTCACATTTAAGAGTGTTTTTACTAAATGTTTAGGCTGTTATATATGTGTAAAGGTGATACAATAGGACTTAGTGAAAGCGTTTACTGAAACCTTGTTCACTTTTCTGTACATGAGGTTGATCATATTAACTGAGACACAAATTATTTATACTTCTATAAATAAAGGTAATCGGTTGAAATTAACAGAGCAACACTTGAGTATAAGCAGATTCAATTAAGCTGTTGAAGTAGAAAAAATTAACCCAGATTAATTAGCGAATTTCCTCCTAAGTGTATGAAACAATTTCACTAACTAATAAGAAGTATTTGAACATTGCAATCTATATAATTACATCCAGTTTAGGATAAAAAGCGAATGGAACATTAGTCAGATCTCTGACTAGTGAAGATACGATAAGTAGTACCGTATGAAGCAGTCATGCAAACGAACCAGATGTAGCCACTTGTTAGTAGTATACTAGATTGTTATTAAAGAAGCCTCAAGTCCAAGTCCCAATGAAACTAAGAGGTTATTTTATGGACTCAATTATCCCTATAGAAGTACAAGACGCAGTAATTAAAGTTCTTCTAAACAGTGATTACTGTTTTTTAGTCTAATTTACAAGAAACAAAAAGTTTATACTGTAGGATCTTTACATAAAACGCTAGGTTTTTATGATGAATATCTTGATGCACAAAAGCGAATAACTTCAGTTTTTTCATAAATTTTTATAAACGTTAATGTAAAGTATTTCTGATGAAATAGGGAGTATAGAAAGATGTGCATCAATTTCAACAATATGTTCAATGTGAAATTATCGTGAACAATTTCAATTATAATTTGTTCATAACAGGCATTGTGAATATTACGGGATTTAAATTCTTGTTACAGAATTAACATCTACAAATTACAAAAGTACCGGAAATTTTTTTATATTTTTAACAATTAAATGAGAGATAAAATATCACTAAAGTATTAAAACAAATAAAATAGTTTGGATAATAATGATGCCCAAATTTAAAAGAGAGAAAAAAAAACAGAAATAAGATATGCTATAAGTTGAAACGGAATTCATTCATCTACTGTCGAAACAATTACTATAAGTTCATAACCACTACGATAACAGATGTGTACTTCAACAAAAGGATGATAGCTTTCAATAAAATAGAGTAGACTTAAAGTAATATGTGTTCACTGAATTAGTTAGGAAGTAAGACAAAACTTACTTCAGCTAACACTTCACGACAAGATAGAATGTAACTAAGTGTTCATAGCGTATGTCTCAGTCACCTCAG